ACCTATAGGGTCGAACGTGAGAAGTGGTATTGGTATATATATATATATATATATATGAAATAAACACAACAGGAAATCAGGAATTACAAATCTTGGATATCAGCGGAATACTCTCGTCCCCCCTTTTTTTTTCTTTCACACACCTTCTGTCCAGCTTCTGTTGCTAGAATGTAATTTTTCAAACTCCTTCTTTGTCCTGGGAACACTTGAAGAATCAAGTGGTATGTAGAAGACATGACAGGGAATCAAATTAGGGAGATAGATCATTTGGGAGTATGAAAGAGATGATGAAGCAAAAAAAAAAAAAAGAGGAGCGAACGATTATATATATATATATATATATATATATATATATATACGTTAATTTACAGTATTATTTTTGAATGAGGCACTCTGATTTAATGAATGTTGTGAAAGCAAGAGATGAAACAGCAAAAAAAAAACACACACACACACACACAGATAGTAGAAGAATAGCTGAAGAACAAAATGATGAAACTGCGGAATAGTGTGTGAAATTGTGCATACTCTACACTTTTTCTTCATTCTCTTTTATTTTGTTTGGTTTTTATCTCCCTCATTTTTTTTTTTTTTTTCTATCTGTCATCATTTTTTTTTTTTTTTTATCCCGTTTTAACCTGCACTATGTGTACATATGTAGCTCAGAGTCTCTCTGATGTTTTCCTCACACCAGAACTGCAACTTTCAACGGGTTCAAATTTTATTCAATTTACAACCCTTGCATGGTGTATCAAAGTCAATAAGAAAAATAAAAAGAATCTCTAGTTAGTAAAAAAGTAATGCAAGGAAAGCGCATTTTTGTGGAGTTTTTTTTTTTTTTTTCCTATTCTCATTATTCATTTGCTTTGCTTTTTTTTTCTTTTTTTTTTGTTCTTTTTCTTTTTCCTTTTTCGTTATTGTTTATCTCTCTCAAACGAAAGAAAAAAGAGAACTTGTAATAACAGTATCAACAAGAGCAAAAACAAAAAAAAATCGATCATTTCTGTTGCTCTTTGTTCCACCAACTGTAGTCATTGTGTATATCAATGATTGATCACAGGAGATATTCTTCTTCCTCCTTACCACCTGCATACGCTCCCTCATAATCCACTTTAGACATGCATGTTTACTTTATTATTTTGTTTTTTTTTTTTCTCTGAATTTTCTTTTTTTTTCTCTATTTTCTCTATTCCTTTTTTCTTTCTTTCTTTTTGCACCCCCCGCCAGTGAAGTTCTCTTCTTACAGTCCAGTTCCGAGCCACCAGGCATCAAGAAAGAAAAAATGGTCGTTGCCCGCACGAAAGCCAACTCCAAGATCCGCCGCATCGGCAAGAAGAAGGGTGCCACGATGAAGGACGTCAACCCGTGGCGCTGGGTGAAGACATGCAGCCAGCACTTCAAGCAGAAGGGTCAACTCTTCGTCCCCAACTGCGCGGAGATCGTCAAGTCATCCCACGGCCGCGAACGCGCCCCGCAGCACCCCGACTGGTACTACATCCGCTGCGCCGCCGTGCTGCGGGCGGTGTACATGCGCCCCGGCGTCGGCTACGGCGGTCTCAGCAAGCGCTTCAGCAGCAAGAAGAACCGCGGCAGCCGTCCAGAGATCACCACACGCGCCTCACGCGGTCTGCTCCACTGGGCGTGCAAGAGCCTCATCAAGTTGGGCCTCATTGAGAAGTGTGAGGAATCCGGACACCGCATCACAAAGGCTGGTCGCAAGGTTGTGGACTCCATCGCCTTTAAGGTGGCTATTCGCAAGTTCAACAGTGCCACTGGTTCCAAGTAAGTGAGCCCAGAAAAGGCCTTATCAGAACTTCTGTTAAGTGAATGGAAGGCTCGATAAGAGAGAGAGAGAGAGATCTTGACATGTTCGTTTT